TTTTGCGGGGTGACTACCGACCATGCATATATGCATCCGGACTCCAGTGCCACAGGCGGCCACCATTGGGCGGCTGGGATGCCATTCCACAACTCCCAGTTCTTCCTTAGGCCCTTCGAGAATCTTCACGAGAGAGCCGTGGCTGCGTTCCCAGACATAGATATCGTGGTTCATGAAGGTGGAAGCCGTGACAAATTCCCCTGTGGATGAGAATGCGACATGGTTCCAGCTTAGGCGGTTGACAACGTCTTGGAATTTGTGTTCTACTTCAAGTTTTATGGCGGAGGGGTCGAGGCTGACTCCGAGTAGGGGATAGGTCGGGGTATAATTACTGTGCGAATAACACGATCTGAACTGTTAACGAGGAGGTCGCGCCCATTTCTAGCTAGGCGGAGGAGGATTACGACGCCGTTGCATAATCTGGTTGAGTGGATTGTGGTGCAGGTTTGGGTTTCGATGATATTAATCCAGCCCTTCGATGTGCCTGATATGATGTGGTTGCCCAGCGCAGTGAATATTGTGACGCAGGTTGAATGCTTTGCATCTTGTGCTGCTTGTTTTGCAGTTACTGCTGGATCGGTATCTTCGAGCTGGGGTCGAAGGGGAGCGGAAGGGAGGATCCGTTTCACGGGTCGTGGAGCGGAGATATCGACGAGAACCGGTTGCTTTTCGAATAGCGAAGCCACAAAGAGCCAGCTGAGAGGTTCAATGTTAGAACTTATTGGTGATACGGCACATGGAATTCAAGAGCGGTATGGCTTACTGGTTAAATGGGTGCAATTCCGCAATGTATACAGGGGCTTCAAATCTCACGGTTCGCACCCGGGAGCCATCTTTCATATCCCACAATACGCACTTCCAATCCTGTGAGGAACTGAGTAGATATCTACCACATCTCGACCAGCTGATGCTCGTTAGCCTCAAACTTTCCACATATTCCAAATGAACATATTTACACTGGACGGAAAAAGCAAACCTCAGACTCTGAATCTGTTTGCTGTGTCCTCGTAGCTTTCGAGCTACGCCATTGGTTTCCACGTCAAATATCACGATCGTGCCATCGACCTGTGGTTATCAGGTTAGTTGCGAAATTGAATGATCGATCGGTTGATATTGAAGTAGCTTACTCGTCCGGAAGCCAGGAAGTCACCCTTACGGTTGAACCTTAAGCAAGTAGCATGTCCGCAGCCTGTATTAGAATGCCATTGTCAGTGTTGTGTTAATGTAGATGTATATGTATGTTAGAAGCAATAAGCACGCACGAAGCTTGCCGGTAAGGGCATCTGGGTAATCTTGAGCAAGGACAAACGGATCGATCAAAGCGAGATTCATGGTGGCTCGCGGTGCAAAATTAAGTGATTACATGCAGAAAGACTCATTGAGGACATTGGAGTGCAGCACTCTGAGGATCACTGAGCCGCTGGCATGGTCCACTTGCCGGCTTCATTTGTTGCTTGCAATCTTGACATTAATACTTAGTTAACTAGTTACGGTTTAACTTTTGAAGTTTGCTCTGATGCTGGAAATTAGTCATCCACCTGGTGGCTGGGGCAGCAAAATTTCTTACACCAGTCTAAAAGAGGAATAGTTCCCCAACCTAGCCATTAAAATTGACTCAACTTATGGCAACTATTACCCGAGTAAGCCATCAGTGTGCCCAGATTGTGTGGAGCATTCATTAGTGTGAGTGAGTAATAGTTGGCCAGTTGTCTGGTGCGACCATGCGGCTCTGAGAAAAAAGTCGGGCTAAAAAACCCAAAGTCGATCGCAAGTGAGGCAACTCTCAACACAACCTCCGTTCATCACCCCGATACCACCCCAACCATCAACTCCACACGGAGCATATCGCATTTCACATCGCGATATCTCTTTTGACGTTTCCTAATACGATATTTCCAGTGACTCAGCACCTTTATACCCCGAAATCACGTCTGAAGAGAGTTGGAAAGGTCAAAGGCGCCCTCGCGGCAGGGTCTGCCATAGGCCGGCGAAGGCCAGCCATCGCGGTCATTTTGACATTATCTCGGTTTATCTGTTTAGTTTTTCGTGGAGTATCGTTTTACTGCTCCATTGAATAATAACGCGCCTTTGACTCGTGTTGCTATACCTATTTCCCTACATACCTGCCTCGGTTTTCTTTTCGGTCGCCATCACATCTCTCCATCGACTGCAATCATGGCGTCTGTCAATTTCCCTTACTCGAAGGCGCAGTTGCGCACAATTAAGGAAATACAGTTTGGCCTTCTTTCGCCGGAGGAGATCAAAAGGATGAGCGTTGTCCATGTTGAGTACCCGGAGACTATGGTATGTGCAACAAGAAACAACCGTGGTTTGCGCACCGTTTCGTGAACAGAAACTAATGAGTGTTTCCGCAATAGGATGAGCAACGACAGCGCCCACGAGAGAAAGGTCTAAATGACCCTCGTCTTGGCACCATTGATCGAAATTGGCGCTGCGCTACCTGTGAAGAAGGGATCAATGATTGCCCTGGACATTTTGGTCATATCGAGCTATCTACTCCTGTGTTCCATATTGGTGAGGCTTATGTTAAGTCTAACTATACTTGGACTATGTGAAGCTAACACCCGCATCAGGTTTCCTGACTAAGATCAAGAAACTGTTGGAAACTGTTTGCCACAACTGTGGAAAGATCAAGGCAAATACGGTTAGTCATCCCTGATGGGGATGGCAAATCATGAGCATTACTCATTGCTGACACTATATTCAAATCCAGACCGATCAAAAGTATTTGGAAGCGCTCCGTTTCCGCGATCCAAAGAGACGTTTTGATGCGATTTGGCGTTTGTCAAAAGATGTCTTGATTTGCGAAGCTGACCCTAGTCCCGATGATGACGAACCGTTCGCCAAAGAACCTTCCAAGCCTGTGCGCTCCCATGGTGGTTGCGGAAATATACAACCTCAAATACGTAAGGAGGGAATTAGTTTGGTTGGGACCTGGAAACCTAGCAAGAATCGTGATATGATGGATGATATGGATGTACAACAACCAGAGAAAAGACAGATTACTCCACAGATGGCCCTCAACATATTCAAGACCATCTCGGAAGAAGATGTTCGTTTGATGGGGTTGAGCAATGATTATGCAAGGCCTGAGTGGATGATTATCACAGTTCTTCCCGTACCTCCACCTCCAGTTCGTCCCAGTGTTCTAATCGGCGGGAGTGGAAGCGGTCAGCGTGGAGAAGACGACTTGACATATAAACTGGCAGAGATTGTGCGCGCGAATCAGAATGTCACCCGATGCGAACAGGAAGGATCTCCTGAGCACGTGGTCCGTGAATTTGAGTCTCTTTTGCAATATCATGTTGCAACCTACATGGACAATGATATTGCCGGACAGCCACAAGCTATGCAAAAGTCTAACCGACCTGTCAAAGCTATCCGTGGCCGCTTAAAGGGTAAAGAAGGTCGCCTGCGTCAGAACTTGATGGGCAAACGTGTCGATTTTTCCGCACGTACGGTTATTACTGGTGACCCGAATTTGTCTTTGGATGAAGTTGGAGTTCCAATCAGCATTGCACAAACTTTAACTTACCCCGAGGTCGTCACTCCTTTCAATATCGCCAAGCTAGGTGAGCTTGTGGATAACGGCCCTGATATTCACCCTGGTGCCCGTTATGTTATTCGCAGCACTGGTGAACGCATTGACTTGCGCCATCATAAGGGTGGAGGTGGGAGGAACTTCCTACAGTATGGATGGAGAGTGGAGCGTCATATCGTGGATGGCGATGTCATCCTATTCAATCGGCAACCGTCCTTGCACAAGGAATCTATGATGGGCCACCGTATTCGTGTGATGCCCTACTCGACTTTCCGACTAAATCTGTCTGTCACTACACCTTACAACGCCGATTTCGACGGTGATGAAATGAACTTGCATGTTCCCCAAAGCGAAGAGGCTCGCGCTGAACTCAGTCAACTTTGTATGGTACCATTGCAGATTGTATCCCCTCAACGAAACGGTCCGTTGATGGGTATTGTCCAGGATACTCTTTGTGGAATCTACAAAATCTGCCGTCGTGATGTTTTCTTAACGAAAGAGCAGGTCATGAATATTCTACTCTGGGTCCCTGATTGGGACGGCGTAATACCCCAGCCCGCAATTTTGAAACCCCGGCCTAGATGGACTGGAAAACAAATGATCAGTATGGTCCTTCCTCCTGGTCTCAACCTCCTCCGGGTTGATCGAGACAAGGCACCTCTTTCTGAGAAATTCTCCCCTCTAGCTGATGGTGGACTGTTAGTGCACGGTGGCGAACTTATGTACGGAATGTTTTCCAAGAAGACAGTTGGAGCCACAGGGGGGGGTGTCATTCATACTATCTTCAATGAGTATGGGCCTGAGACGGCGATGAATTTCTTCAATGGCGCCCAAACTGTAGTCAACTATTGGCTGCTCCACCACGGCTTCAGTATTGGAATTGGTGATACAATTCCAGACCTAGCTACAATCGAAAAGATTGAGGAAGCAGTTCGTGTGAGAAAGGAGGAAGTCGATGAGATCACAGCTAGTGCAACCGACAACACCCTAGAGCCTTTGCCAGGTATGAATGTCCGTGAGACCTTTGAGAGCAAAGTATCTCGCGCCCTTAACAATGCCCGTGATGAAGCCGGAACGGAGACCGAAAAAAGCTTCAAGGACTTGAACAACGCTGTCCAGATGGCCCGTTCTGGTTCAAAGGGCTCGATCATCAACATTTCTCAAATGACTGCGGTTGTCGGCCAGCAATCTGTCGAAGGCAAACGTATTCCATTCGGTTTCAAATATCGTACCTTGCCACATTTCACAAAGGATGATTATTCGCCAGAGTCTCGTGGCTTCGTCGAAAATTCGTATCTCCGTGGTCTAACCCCGACTGAATTCTTCTTCCATGCTATGGCTGGTCGTGAAGGTCTTATTGACACTGCCGTCAAGACAGCTGAAACTGGATATATCCAGCGGAAGCTTGTCAAGGCTCTTGAAGAGGTCATGGTTAAATACGATGGTACTGTGCGTAACTCGCTGGGGGATGTTGTACAGTTCCTTTACGGAGAAGACGGTTTGGATGGCGCACATATTGAAAATCAACGCGTTGATATTATCAAATGCTCGGACGAAAGATTCCGTGATAGATATCGAGTCGATCTGATGGATCCTGACAGAACTCTATCTCCCAATGTATTGGAGCAAGCCACGGAAATTGCTGGCGATATCGAGGTACAGAAGTATCTTGACGAAGAATGGGAGCAGCTCCTGAAGGACCGTGCTTTCATGCGTAGCGTTGCCAAAGAGGACGAAGAAATGATGCAATTGCCAATTAATGTTCAGCGTATTCTCGAGTCGGCAAAAACTATATTTAGAATTAGAGAAGGCGCCATTAGCGACTTGCATCCTGCAGAGGTCATACCTCAAGTCAGAGCGATGTTGGAACGCCTTGTCGTTGTTCGTGGTGACGATGTGATTTCCCGCGAAGCACAAGAAAGTGCCACATTGCTCTTCAAGGCACAGCTCCGTTCCCGCCTTGCATTCCGTAGACTCGTTGTGGAATATTCACTTAACAGACTCGCATTCCAGCACGTATTGGGTGCTATTGAAAGTCGATTCTCCAAGGCGATGGCGAACCCTGGTGAAATGGTTGGTGTTTTGGCTGCACAATCAATTGGAGAGCCAGCAACACAGATGACCCTGAATACTTTCCATTTTGCTGGTGTCTCGTCCAAGAACGTCACCCTTGGTGTGCCTCGTTTGAAGGAAATTCTCAATGTTGCCACTAATATCAAAACCCCTTCTATGACTGTCTATCAAGACCCTAGTCGCGCCATGGACAAGGAATCTGTCAAACAACTCCGTAGTGTTGTTGAGCATACCAGTTTGAGGTCGGTTACAGAAACAACAGAGATCTACTACGATCCCGATATCCAATCTACCGTGATTGAAGCGGACCGCGACATGGTTGAATCATACTTCATTATCCCTGAAGATGTCGCAGATGATTCGAGCCGTCAATCCAAATGGTTACTTAGAATCATTCTTAGCCGGCCGAAGCTCCTGGACAAAAGTCTTACGGTTCAAGATGTTGCAATGAAAATCAAAGACGCTTATCCGCAAGATATTGCGGTTATATTTAGCGATAATAACGCTGATGAGCAGGTCATTCGTATTCGACAAATTCAAGACTCTAAGCAGGATGACGATGATGATGACACCGAATATGACGTGACACTAAAGAAGCTGGAAAGTCATTTGCTTGATACCCTTACTTTACGAGGGGTGGCTGGCATTGAACGTGCTTTCATCAATGAGAAATCGAGAGTTCGCGTCTTAGAGGATGGATCTCTGCATCAAAGCGCTGATGACCCTCTATGTAAGGAGTGGGTTCTAGAAACCAGTGGATCGGCACTCGGCGAAGTCTTGACCATCCCTGGCGTGGATACAACTCGCACGTATTCTAACCAGTTCATTGAGATTCTGGAAGTATTCGGTATCGAAGCTACTCGTACTGCACTTTTGCGAGAGTTAACCCAGGTGCTTGCTTTTGATGGATCGTACGTCAATCATCGTCATTTGGCCCTCCTTGTCGATGTTATGACTTCACGAGGCTTCCTTATGGCAGTAACTAGACATGGTATCAACCGTGCTGATACTGGTGCTTTGATGCGATGTTCATTTGAGGAAACAGTGGAGATTCTACTTGATGCCGCTGCATTTGCAGAGTTAGATGACTGCCGTGGGGTATCTGAGAACCTGATCTTGGGACAGATGGCACCAGCTGGAACTGGGGAGTTTGATGTCTACCTTGATCAGGATATGCTTATGGGAGTCGTTTCGAGCAACGCTGGTCTAATGGCGGCAGATGGCAAAGGATTACTCAGTGATGGAGCTGCCACACCTTATGATAGCAGCTCCCCATTGCAGGACAACATGTACATTGGCACACCAGACCCTGACTCCAATTTCTCACCTATCAGACAAGCTGGATCTGAGACCCCTGCAGGGTTCACTGAATATCAGCCTTCCGGATTTAGTGGTGGTTTTAGCCCTCATGGCGCGAGAAGCCCCGGTGGAGGCTATTCGCCTAGCAGTCCTTTCAATACCAGCCCGACCTCTCCTCGCTATTCTCCATCCTCTGGGTACTCTCCAACCTCTCCTGGTATGAGCATTACGAGTCCTCGATTCATGTCCTCTCCTGGGTTTTCGCCAGCCAGTCCAGCTTTCGCGCCAACTTCGCCTGCCTATTCGCCAACCTCTCCGAGCTATCAACAATCACCGACTTCGCCATCGTATTCGCCTACGTCTCCTGGTTTCTCTCCCACGTCACCTAGTTACAGTCCAACGTCTCCCAGTTTTAGCCCTGCTTCTCCTGCTTTTAGCCCTACTTCTCCTAGTTATAGCCCTACAAGTCCTGCGCTCGGAGTTTCGACTGGCAGACACCTTTCTCCAACTTCCCCTACCTCTCCTAAATATACTCCTACTTCCCCTGGTTGGTCTCCAACCAGTCCAGAGACCTACTCACCCACCTCACCCAACTTCTCTGGCTCACCAACTTCTCCGGGAGGTCCAACATCCCCTGGCTACAGCCCGACCTCCCCCACTTTCAACCCTATGTGAGTTCTTTTGCGTGTACAGGCGCAGCGGCCAAGTGCTAATTTTATCTTAGATCTCCACGCCAGTAGGCTCGACATTTATGCATTTGCTCTAAAGGAGAATCCCCTTTTCCATTTATTTTTGCGATGGCTTTTTTCTTATTGCATCGCTGTACTACTATTTCATGTCATTAGCAGTTGCATACTGAAGCAAAAACCCCATCCCGCATGGCTAGGCTTTCTATTAGTTGGTCTGTTATATCTTCCAATTGTTTGGCGTTCTTCTTGTGTGTGTCCTTTTCACAGCCTTCCTTTAGCCCGGGTGAGTACTACCTTTTCTTTTTTCTGCCTGCCCCTTTTCGCCCCTTAAAATTGTAATGCTTTCTGGGCAAAAAATATTTCCTGCAGCGTTTGATCCAACAATATAAGGAGAAGGGAAAGAAAAAAAAAAAAAAAAAAAAAGAGAAGGATAAAAAGACTAAAAATAATCACTAGATATTGGCACCCACGCACATAATAAGCCGGCGTTGGAGATGCTTTCTGTGTTTTGTGTTGGTGTCGCTTGTATAGCAGTTCTGATTTTACTTCTTTCCTCTTTCTTTTCCATTTCCTGCTCTCTGTACACAGATCAACTACTTTTCGTAAAGAAAATAAGAATTAAAATTTGGAGTTACATTTTACATTTACCATGCATTTTGTTATCCTGAGTTGATACTAGTCCATAATAAGGTCATGTCGTTGTTGGTGATTACTAAGCCATCTGTGCGAAATAAAATTTATCTAAATGGACAAGCGGTTCCCATATCCATCGGAAGCCTGAAACTAACCATGCATTGACAAATTTCTGAATTAGGGGAGATTTTATATCTAATCCCTTCTTGGCATCTCTATATTTTCTCATGACCGAGCCGAGAAACTGTGGCCTACGATCGCACTTCTCTTTCTCATCCCACTACACTACAACATAACATTAGCGGGGAATATAGCTATATATAAACGACATTTTATGGACACCCACGCGTATCTCCTCAGCCAAGGTTGGTCGGGTCCGGGCAACCCTCTAAATCCCAACCGCCGTCCTGGCCCACACGGCGGCCTCGGCCTTACCAAACCCATCCTCATCGCGCAGAAGAAGAACAACCATGGACTCGGGAGAAAGACGACGCACGACCACACGAACCAGTGGTGGCTTCGCGGATTCGAGGCGGCGTTGAAATGTGTTGGTGATGATGGGAGTGCGACACCTCAGTCTGATCGATCTGGCTCATCCGCGAGTGGATCGAGCGAGTTATATCGATTCTTTGTCAAGGGGGAGTCGCTAGAGGGAACGATTGATAGGATTGAGGCCAAGGAATCTGGGACAGTTAAGGGGTGTGTGGGGGTTTCTACCGATTCTAGGAAAGGGGGAAGGAAACGGAAAAGAAAGCATCGTGACGAGAAAGACGCCGATGAGGAGAGGGATAAGAAAGTATTGAAGGAGAAGAGACGGAAGAAATGCAACCGGGATCAGAGGGATTGCAGGGAGGGAGGGGACGTAGAAGACGGAAGGTTGGCGATAGAAACTAAAGAGGAAAAGCGGAGGAAGAGGAGGGAGAAAGAGACTGCAAAGTTAGAGGAAGATTCTGCAGATGCTCGTGTTGACAAGAAGGAATGCAAGAAGCGGAAACGGTTGGACAATGCCGATTCTGGTTCACTACCACCCGCCGAAAAGGAAGAGGTGACCGAGCCGGCTGAAGAGCATGAGGTATCCGATCAAAAGGAACGAAAGAAACAGAGAAAGCTGGAGAAGAGCAGAAGCAAGCGCGAGCGCTGAAACATAAGGAGAGGAAACTCAAGCAGAGAGAAAATCGCGATAAGGAGTAAAGATTCTTATGCCTGCTATACTCAATTTTTATACCCCCCAACGACATATCCCGTTAATATGTTTGAAACTTCCGGAAGATGAATTCTTTACCATTGCGACATCTGAAGTCGAACACTGGAGGCCAGGCGAATTAGGCGTATCCTCCCATATTATAGCTGTGAAATTTCTATGCAGTGATTGTGGAAAGTCTCTTGATAGATATGATGTGATTTCATTTGGGGTTATTTTTTTGGCTCAATTCCATTGTTATTTTCTATGCAAAGCATTAAAGCCGGTGATACTCCTATTTTTTTGGGGGTATTTATTTTGTCAATTGTATCCCTAATTGCATCCACCTACTGTACAGGAATGCAGAAAATGCAAATTTCACCCTTCCCTGGGGAGGTTGCCAGGCTTATTCGATATAATCCACGGCCGCTTGTCCCAAAAATCGTCTTTGATGATATCCAGATGCATCACCGCAATCGTAGCCTTTTTCTGTATTTTCCTCATCCTCGCTATTTGAGATTTTGTCATTTCTGCTGGTGGCCCTTCTTCTCCGACTTCATATTCTACCTCTTTGGACCCACTAGCCATTTTCTCCACTTGAGGTTGGATTTCGTACTGATTTCTAGCTGTGTGAGGCATGCTTACTCCGATCATTGCTTGCGATGAGGTGGGGCATAGAAAGCAGCTAACACTTACGTTTCTGAATATTACACTGCCCTTCTTAAACATTTCTGGTTCGTTATTATAATTTATCCCGAACCTTGAAAATAGAATCTCGTTCTTATCACCGGATACCGTGCCCTAGTTTTTGGTTCTGTAAGCAAATCTTCTCGTACGGCGGGAGTTGGATATAAAGTCGTGGCAATTTCGTTCTATGGATTGCACAAACCTGCAATGCCTTCTCTGCCTCTGTATTACTCATCCCGCCTTGAAGAATCATATTCCAAAACGTGGTATTGTAGAGGTTGTTGATGTGACCTTCAAGAAAGTGTTCGAGTTTTGTTAACTCCCTACCTTCCACAAACATGAAGCAAAGCAGTTTGGTAATTAAGCAAAGGAAAATGAGCAAATAACTGAGAAAACAGTGAACGGAAAACATACAATCAGCCTGTCTCCAACTCATATAATCCCTCAAGTTCTTCACGCTTGGATATTGAACGGCCCTTCCATCAAATGACGGCAGAAATCCAGGGTCTAGTTGCATGGACGGAAAGAACGATGACCAGTTATATATGTAATGCGCAGTAAATGTCGATACAATTGTAGTTACGAGCTTGCTGTCAAATGTGAAGGAAATGGACGGTTAAATTTCCTCTTTCATTATCCGGTGAAAAGATATTTCACATCCCGGGCGCATAAGGAGAGAGAGGGAGAGAGAAGCTCTAAATATGTAACATACCTACATCTTCGCTCGAATAGCTGACAGCTCCGGTGAAAAACAAAACTTTGTGAGAAGTTGATTTATTAGCTTTAGGCACTCGTATCTACTGCTAGTGCCTCCGTTCAGTGGAAGGAGGGCCACACCTATATTCATCGCTGACTCCATATGCGATAATCAAGTCAGGTAGATCTCTCATAACGGCGCATGCTGCGGTGTTCATAAGATTGAGCGCGCGCTCATCGTTTGGTTTTTGAAACTTGTATCGGTTAGAGAACCTATGGGAGGGATGAGTGAGTTGGTTGTGATGAGGAATAAGTGAGACCAAGAATGGTAAAGCAGAAAAATAAGAAGAGATAGAAGAGATATTAATAAATGGATACATATATTCCTTTCCCACTTAGTTCAGATAGGAAAAGCATGATCTTCAAGATTTGGTTTGAAATATATACAGACTCGAAGGGTGGCATATATAGATGTCTTAACCCATGAAGTAACTCTAGACGTGAGCGCGGAGGGGAGAAAAAGGAATAAACACCGTCATTATTTAATAAGAGAAAGAATAGAACGTGGCTAATTTACCTATGAAAGCCTCGTCCATCAATCCGAACGACAATCCAGGTATTTGGCAGCAGGCTGTCATCCTGCTCAAATGTCTTGACATATTCGTATCTTTGCGGGGCGGGAAAAGACGGATGGTTGTCAGCATGGTTTACTTTGAGAAGGAAGAGCAGGGAGAAGCTTTTTAATTTACTTTGAATTCGCCATCAGATTGATTGTACACGGGATATTCTGAGTAAGTGCCTGCGTTGAAATGGTGTGGACGAGGAGTTTGGTAGTCGGATTTGACGTAGCTGGGTTATTTTACGTGAAGATTTGTTTGGATCACAGGTGAATATGGGGCCAAACAAATTCGATCGCCATATCGCCATATTAATACATTCACAATTTTAACACAGGAGTTACATACACTACCAATAGTTCTCTTCATTTAATTTTTGTTCTAAAATAATGATAATAATAGTCTAAACTACCGTGCTAAAAAGAAAAACCTCTGACGGGTTGGACACCGTCGGAAGAATAGGAACTTCGGGAAAAAGCCAACGGTTAATACCCAACAGAGATACACAGAAGCGAGATAATCAAGCTCAATTAAGCATCCCCGGAAACATCTTCATCACCAGTCTCACTAGCCTTCTCACTATACTCACCAGCTGCCTTGTCCTTTTTGGATTTCCGCATAAAGCCGAATCCCAGACTGCTGCTCTTGGTCAGCTTGTCTGTCGACTGCACGCTGGAAGCTAAGCTATCAACGCTCCTGCCAAGAAGAGATTCTGTCGCCGCGGCATCTTCGTCGATATTGTCCCCTTGAGTCGGAGTGGAAGCCGGTTCCCCACTACTTTTCTTCGAGAACAACCCAGCTCGATCTTTCCAGGAGATATTGAATTTGCTGGAGCTGCTTTTGCGCGTGATTTTTTGGATAAATGATTCTTTTTGGTTTACTATTTCGGAAGGTGTTCCTGATGATGTTCGTTCCAGGAACTCGTATGACTCTGCAGCTGAGGTGTGGATGGAACGGGAATCTTTCGACCGGCGGGATTCTGGTGGCGAGCTGTTTTCAAGATTTGGCTCGTTATCCCGAGGCTTTGGAGCTTCTGCTTCCTTATTCTTGCCTTTTTCGGATTTCTTGCTAAAAAGAGTCTTGAATGAAGGTGCTGTCGGGTTGAGTTTCGGAGTTATTGGGCGCTGAGAAGAAGGTGGCCGGGTTCCAATGGGAGCTTGCACTGGGCGCTGTAACTCATAAGGGGTTTCAAGAAAATCTACATCACCGGATGCCAAGCCTAGTTGTAGATTGCTTGATGATCCAAACTGAACTGATGGGCGCCGTGACTGGCTGCGGGACCATGGTGCGGGGGATGCCCAGTCGAGCCCGAGAGGGCTACCTCTATGCCCCATTTTGTCAATGGCTGGCCATCCGAATGGTTGGTTGTCCGCGGCTGGGAGTGGAAGCTGATGATTTTCAAACGAGTAAATGGACGCCGGCCTCGGAGAAGATGAACCACGGCGAACGGTCCCGAGGATAGAAGGATCTATAGGGTCGTGTCGGGGGCTGAATTGGTTATAGCCAGTACCTGAGCCAACACGATCAATTGCTGATTTCTCCAAGGCGCTTGAAGATGCAGTATTTAATAACCTCCCAGAACTGAAAAAGTTAGGAAACATAGCTCTGCGACTGGCAGGGAGACGGTCCGACGAACTATCACTAGTGACATTGGTGGCAACACTTCTGGGGAATAGATTTGTGACGGGATTTGCCCAGTTCCCCGCGTAGCTAAGACGACGCCGTCTGGTACCAATTGGATCAAGCCCGTCATCGAATTTTCGTGGGAAGGATTGGCTTTGGCCTGGTTTGAGAGTCCCAAGCAAGGGCGGCCCATCCACCATGGATTTACCCCGTTGCCGATGAAAGTTAAAAAGTTCCGAGATGCGACGAGAAGCACTTTGAACACTATCAGAGGGCACCTGCGGGGGCGGCATGGCTACAGAATTGTGCCCACTCTCCTGTAGGTTGTTTAAGCTCTCGCGAGGACTTGTAAATAGGCTCGCAGGGCGGCTCCCAGAAGATATAGGTGAAGGGGAGTTGGGAAGGAGATTGTCGAACACGCCTGACCTAGGAAATTGAGCGCTACTTGCAGGAGGGTGAGAGGCTGACGGTTGTTCCTCGTCGCCAAGGAGGTCTGAAGGTAGTAGAGAATCTGCCCGTGGACTCATAGAGGGATTGCCTGCTATTATATCTGTATCCGCACGGTTAATAACGGACTGGTCAGAAGGGTCCGGTAGAGTCATCCCATTATTAATGTTGAAAAATGCAGGTGCGGGGGGAATAGTTGGCGAGCCACTTCCAGGCGTTTTGTAGTTCGGCGCTGCATTGGCGAACGAGGTGTCCACCAGCGGGTAGCCCACTGGAGACGAAACGTTGCTCACAAGGGACCCGCGATGACGAGTGCGGCGGTTGAAGCTAGCTCTGCGTGTTAGGTCCAGGTCCATCGAAGGAAGCTGCGGAAATGGAGTGACATTCGATCGCTGTGAGGTAAGCCACCTAAGGCGCTCTTGGGCCTCCTGGTAGTGTCGTTGGGCCTGTAAAGTCAGCTGGCAGAACTATTTCCTAAATGAAGGACACACAAAAACGAACCTGCGAATGGGCATTGATGAGCGAGGCATATTGTGTCCGCAGAGCCCCCAATTTGATCTCCCACGCGTGATCTTTCTCCTTCTCCAATCGACCAAGCTCCTTTCCATCATCCACGTCGTCAACCTCTAGCCGAAGTCTTTCTTCTTCCATGTCCTTGATACGGCTTCCTTTCACTCTAATATCCTCATCCAATGTCTTCATTTCAGCCTGTTCACGCATGATTTTGTTGCGATATTCGTTGACCCGTTTCGATGCCTCAGCCTCGATTTGTTTCTTTTCTTCCTTGGCGCGAGATATTTTGTCATGTATCGTCACCAGTTGTTCATTCCATCGGGTGATATCTTCCTTGCGTCGTTGGCGCTCTGCCCCCTTTTGCTGCAACAGTCTCTCTCTTTTGCTCTTCTCGCTTTGCACTGTGCGATTGATACTTTCCAATTTATTGACATGCCTTCTAAGGTCTCCGCTAGCTTCATCTTTCTCTTTGACTCGTTGTCTTAGTTCGTTGCGTTGTTCTTCCAACTCCCGTAACATTTGCTCATGTTCTTTCTCCTCCATGCAAACTTGGCTTTCCAAAGTTACATTTTCTTGTTGCAAGTCCTTGAGGCGCTCTGCTAGCCGTGAAAGATTTTCGTTGGACTCATCAACGCTACTTGCTCTTTGACTGCCTACTGCACCTGTGTGTGTTATATTCTCCGGCCCTGTACTTGAGGGAGGGAAAGATTTTCTGTTTCCCGAGACCCGCTTTCCCTGAGCTTGTCCGCCACTGTGCTCTCGACACATTAGCGGCGTAGATGGCGAAACTGAAGGAGTGGGGGGTCCGGAGATGTAAGCTCGAACAAGCGGCGGTCCGCCGTCCACATCTTCTTCCTGAGTATCTGATATCGATAGAGTTTTCGTACGGACGTGGAGGAGGGAGCTTGATGTGTGGAAATTGGCAGCGCTAACTGCGGAGACGCAAATATGGTATATGTGGCCCGCGGAGAGATTGGATATGATAACGCCTGTTCCTGAACGTTTTGTCTCACCAACTATTGTAGCTTCTAAATTAATATACTTGCAATGTATATCACCTGGGGAAGTAGATAGGAACAGACGGCAGACCTTTGACGCCATTAACTAGAATGAGGTGCTTGTGAATAGAATGGTGTAAGTCTGGATGTTTCCAGGCAATGCGAATCATAGTAGAGCCAATTTCTTCCAGAGTAACATCGGGAGCGGGGGGAATATCCAAGCCCAGTTTCTCAACCAGAATATTGTTTGGCGTTTGGCAGACCTGATATGCCCGATATAGAAGCCTACAGTGGAACATTATTATAACTCCGTTGAATTATATGTGTCTAACTGAATAGCACTCGAACTCACCATATCAAAGCCCATAAAATCGCCGCTGCCACGAGGAAAGCCATCGCACCTCGTACTCTCAAGACCGGGACGACGTGGGGGTGGATATCTGCTATAAGAAGTAATGGCTTATACATTACCAATACCCATGGCCCGTCAGGGGGACCGTGACGTTCGTCTACAACTTGAGCTGGCGATTGCTATCGGACTTAACTCTGCCCTCGAGCTTCCTTAGAAATTCATTCCTTCGAAGTAGAAATCAGGAACAGGATCAACAAATTTCCGAGGGACCAATCGGCCCGGCCCCACTTTTATTCTTGCCTGTCATCAACTCCAACTGGGGTGCTATTATCAAAATAATTAGCTACTTCTGTTAAGAATATTTTAAAAACAAATTCACTATACTATTGTGCAAATTGAGTGTTCATTTCTATACTTTGAAAACACTCATACTTAAGATATGTAGTAAAATCAACTCTTGAGAATAGTTGTGATTCGTGAAAATATAATCGATGGAGTAGTTCTCACTAAGCGTAACAGGGGAATTGAGCAGCTTCACGATCATCATCATCCTTGATCATTCCATTCATATTGCCGTGGTTATTTAGAACCGTTAAGATATACGAATGCCATCTCTCCCTCACTGAACATTGGAAACGTATGAAAAGTTTATTTTTTAACCCACGAAGCTTATGTCAATCTCCACTAGGAATTTGTCGCCGAGTTACGAATTACTCTTATTTTCAGCTACATTCAGCCCTGTTTTTATACGGATAGTGTATGAGTACAGTCATCATACTCACTTGCTCAGCCTAAAACAGGGCGACTATCCATGAATACTAGTACTAGTAGGGTGTCTTAATGTTGGGGGATTGGATTGGGTGATTCGTTCCCTCTATACCACCACGGCGCTGGTGGTGATCGAGCTCTTTTGCCCTAGTGGCCTAATACTTAATTCCCCGGTTGAACGCTTCATGAAATTCCGAGACACGTAGGGCGAGACAATACCAGGAGAGCATAATTTTCCGTGTTCCATGATGTAATTAAAGCGAGTGCTGAAACCAACAGGCGCGACTATTCACGGTGGCTGGAATGCAGGTCTGACCAGTAGTTATGGGCATTCGGATGTTCCAACCCGAGGCAATTCCTGATAATTTATCTGTTGCCCCAACAAAACTACATGACTAAGCTGCGGCAACCTGATCGGAACCGGAGCCGGAGAAGCAGCGCCGCGGCGGGCCGCTTCAACATCCTCAACATCCTCACTCCTTCATCTTCTCGTTGTCTTCTCTGTCCATACAGTCTGGTAGTCACACCCATACTCGTTCTGGGAATCCTGTCCCTTTATATACATATTATTTTTAATACTATATTTCACGGCCACTAGTACCCTCAGCTTGCTCTTGTTTAAGTTGCGTCACATGGCCATCCCGCATCAGTCTTGAGAAGAGCGCCTGTTGCACTTGCACTGCACGCCTTTAACTTTTCCTCAGGAATACACTGCCTATCAATCATTAAGCTTTATTTTGAGTTAATGTGTTGGAGCTGTTTCTGAGCTGGAACTTGTAATTCCGGGTTACCATCTTGAAATCGGGGGATGCAGTACGTGCGCAGTATCAGCGGTTCCGTTTCCAAGACATGGAACTCCATCAATCCAGCTACTCTCAGCGGAGCCATCGATGTGATCGTTATCGAACAGGAAGATGGTGAGAACTCATTGTCCAATGCAGCCGGAGATTTTTTTTTTTTTTTTTTTTTTTGGGCTTTTTCTAAAATTTTACTTTTCGTCTCCACTCTTAGGTACCCTTGCGTGTTCCCCATTCCACGTTCGATTCGGTAAATTTTCGCTACTTCGCCCCTACGAGAAAAAGGTAGAATTTCGGGTAAACGGGGTCAAGCAAGACTATGCGATGAAACTTGGGGAAGGCGGGGAAGCATTTTTCGTTTTCGAAACTTCAGACAATATTCCTGAGTCTTTACAGACATCGCCTTTAGTCTCCCCGGTCTCAAGCCCCAAGCGTGGCCTAACTGATGGCGGAACACCTCTCCAGGAACCTGACTATCTGGACCTTACTTTTGATAAACAGAATAATACGGGAGCAGATGATGGTGCCCAGCACTCTCCGCCCGTGAATATCTCAGGGCTCGGGAGAGCAAAGAGTGATTTGGGTTTGTTTTGCTATTCAACCAGTATGTTTATCTATTTATACTAAACAGTTTGCCTTGCAGGAACTACGGCATTACTTTCGGGGTCATCGGAGGATGGTTCTTCTCGTCCGGCGCATGCTGCACCCTGGCTGGCACCGGCCGCTACGCTGGATCGCTCTCGGTCGGAGGATTTATCTACTGAACCGACCTCCAGGAGTCTTGGGCAAGGCAGTGGAATTCGGCCCCAAAAACATTTTGGCACCTTCCATCTGCCCCCACAGCGGAGAAGTCCTTTGTCCGAGCGGTC